CCCCCCAGCTTTGTGACAGTGAGTTTTGTAACTGACATTGAACTTTGCATTGAGTTGACCTGATACCTAGATCACAGGTATTATAACCCCACAGATTTAAGTCCTGCAAATGATAAATAAAGTTTGTGAAATGAATTATTCATTTATCCACTGGAAAGTATTGTAAAATCTGAGCTATAGTCTATAGCAAAAATGTGCAATAAAATAATTGACCATTTCCTTCAGAAAGTCATGACAGTTATCTATGTTGTGAACATGATTGATTTGGTCATGTTTGTTGTTTTCTTCCGGAAGGTTTTAATGTGCCTTAGTGTCAGAACATGAATGCGCCAGTCATCACAGATGCTAAGTATGTTTTGGGAGAGAAAATGGATGAGGGCATCCCAGACCTTCCCAGTGGTCCACTGGATATCTATAGGAAGAAAGCATCCTTCAGCTTGAAGGAAATGTTGCGGTTTCTGGAGGAAGAAATCATTGCATTCAAGGTAAGATCTTTATGTTTTGCTCATCTTTTTTTTTGTCCAGGAAAAGTACACATTTAATAAGATTACTATGCTAGACACAAAATAAATACAATAAATAAAACCATACAATAAATTAAAATATTCCAGATGTACATACTTTATTTTAAACAGCAGTTATGCACAATATAACTACTTATATAAATATACCTATATAAATCAAAAGTAAGTTTATCACATACATCTGTCCTAACAACCCTACAGAGACAGTGTGCTTAGTTCATTTAATCCATATCAGGAAAGCTCCTCAGACAGACTGAGCTGAATTTCAAATGAATGATTCCTCCTTATGAGCAGTCTGAGTGAAGGGATGGGCGCTTTCAAATGCTGCTTCATTTTGTTTCGAATCAGCAGTTCAGAGCTTGCTTCAACCTTGCCAAGCCACGTGATTCAAGCAAACAAGACTTTGTTACGTTATTCTATTTTAAACCTTAGTTTCAAAGCATTTAAAAATTCTGATAGTTTGCCACTAGATGCTGTTGATCTGGTGAACTCATGAATACGTGTCTAATGGTTTTAACAGTTTTATAATTGAGTTTAATTTTAATTCATTCAATGAATTTTTAATACTTATCCATGTATAATAAAATGAGAATGATATTTAATTGCTTCTAATTGACCTAGTTTGCCAAAGCCTGCCTAATAACACACAAAACGAGCATTACGCATTAATATAGGAACAAAAAGTTTACAGAACATTCACATTTAATGGTATTTAATTATTTGTAGATAACATTTAAAGGAGACATATTATGCCCCTTATTACAATATGTAATATAAGTCTCTGGTGTCCCCAGAATGTGTCTGTGAAGTTTCAGCTCAAAATACTCCACATATAATTTATTATATCTTTTAAAAATGCCTATTTTGAGTGGAAGCAGAAAAACGCTGTTTTTCTTGCCTGTCTCTTTAAATGCAAATCAGCTCCTGCTCCCCGCCCCCTTTTCCAGAATAGAATTGCACCATTACAGCTGGTACCTGCTAAAAAACATCTGTTTTGGTTCTGATTATCATGTTTAATCACGCTGAAATCATGCGTTTTAAACCATATGAGTTTAAACTTCTGATATAAGGTTTTCTGAGTGCACACATCCGAAGCACACTGACAGAAAGCGACTGTCACAGCATGTGAGTACTAAACTAAGTTTTCATTCACACACAAGTTTACGTTAAAAACACACGAGTTCCAAAAAACAGTCGGTTATGTCTGTGAAGGTAAACAGCTGGGAAATAAATCACATGTTTATTTTAGATCTGTGTGGCAGCAGCAATATACAGTAAATAAATCAATAAATCCACTGCTGTCTTGTCTCCTCTGAGGCTGGGACTCTAAACTGCGTTCTGTGCAGCCAAAGACAGAACAGTTAGCATATTTTGCTCAAACTTTCGCCATGGCATTAGAACCAGTACACGTTGTCGCTTGCGAAAACACAACAACGGCGCCCTGGGTGTAAATTTACATTTTTAAGGGGCAGTAATATTATAATGAGATCCTTTTGCCACGTCACCAAGGGAGCGAAGTCAGATGCGCTCGTTTTCTCAGACGCTTGCAGAAAAAGGCTTCCCAAAACAAAGTTACTGGGTTAATGTTTTTCACTTTTCCTTAGTTGGTAGATGCACGGGGGACCTGATTATAACACTTAAAACCAGGAAATGTCAGATTTTCATGATATGTCACCTTTAATTGATTACACTTTCATGAAAACATTTTCAATTGGTATGTAAAAGGGTTAGTAATAATTATGCATGCTTGTGCTTAGCTTTCATTGCATTTATATTGATTTGACCAGCAGGTGCATTTATATTGATTTGACCAGCAGGTGCTGCCAACCTGTGGTGTTTTGAGTGGTTCGTTTTGCAACACAGTTGGTTCAATTCATTCAGAGTTTCGAAAAGCTTTGTTTCTTCCATCACTAGTCCACAGATTGATATAGATTTCTTCTCAGCTCTCTTTTGTTTCTTTCTCTAAGCAGCAGCACTTGTTCAGAGCACTGGAGAGTGACCCGCTCTTTGCCCGGCAGCCTGGTGAGGACATCCCAGTGGAGCAGAAACAAGAAATCACATTCCGCCGCTGTAAACAATTATTTAAATATGACTTTGTAACACGAGATGTTGTCATGTAGAACCCCTGGAAGATGCCGATCCTCAATGACTGCCTGGGAATGTATGACTGGTCTTTGGGAGCCAAGTACTTCCTTAACAAAGGGGTGAGCCCATTTCATATGCCCTCCAGAGAGCTTAATACACTACCCTTCCAAGAATAGCTTGTAATCCTTACGAAATACGAATTAAGAATGAACCCATTTTGAAATGGGTAAAGCTCACACACAAGTAATTGCTTGAAGTAATTCATATTTGGGATTATCTAAATGTTTTATTTTTCAACCATGTTAGATGTTTGGAGCCACAGTGGCAAACACAGGATCTCGGAGACACTTGATGTTTGTGCAGGACATTGAGTAAATTATGGTAAATTATCTGTTTTTTATGGCATGCAGCAAATATAAAACCATCTTAGCCATAAAAAATCAACTAAAAGCTTCTCAAGTTCAGTGTAATGAGTGAGCATGGACTACATCTTGAATGCATTCATAGCAAATATGGTTGCTTTTTTAAGATAGCCACTAGTTTACAAAACCCACAAGGAAAATGGGTAACACTTTACAATAAACTTAACTACATTATTTAACATGAACTAACAATGAAAAATTATTCTAAAGCCTTAGTTAGTCATAGTTCATTTCAACATGTACTAATACATTTTCAAAATCAAAACGTGCATCTTTTAAAATTATTTAATGAGCCTAAGCTAACATGAACTAACAATGAAGAGATGTATTTTTATTAAAATTAATAATTATTTTTTAAAAAAATCAAAAATACTGTAACCTTTGTATTGCTCATTGCTATTTAATGCTAGTTAGTTTGTGCATGGTTAACTAAAGAATGTTATGGAAAAGTGTTACCAGAAAAATGCAGTTTTATTATTTGAATTTAAAGATTATCATAAGATAAATATTTGCTTTTATAGATTATTATATTTTGGTGCTCAAAGTATGATAGTAGGATACATTAAAAGATGGCTTTGACTCTCGTGCATATCATTATTCACCTTCCATACAACTAGGACATTTTGACACTCAAGCTCAGTATTAGGCCATAAACAGGAAGTGTGTGTGTGTGTGTGTGTATACAAACCAGCAAGTTGCCTTTGACATTAGTCATGGAAAACCACATGAGCCACTGACAGCATGTTAATATTGTGTCTGTCTCTTTAGACATTTGGATGCTTTGCATTGACAGAGCTGAGCCATGGCAGCAACACGAGAGCCCTGAGGACAAGATATGACCCCAGCACTCTGTTTCCAGAGCACAGCTGAGCCATGGCAGCAACACGAGAGCCCTGAGGACAAGATATGACCCCAGCACTCAGGTACTCTAGTACAGTGTTTCCCAACCGGGGTGCCGTCTGTCGAGAGCAGGGGTGCCGTGTAAAAAAATATTTATTTATTACTTTTTTTATATTTTTAAATTTCTAAAATGTTCAAAAAAGCATATATTATATAATATCCATGTCTGATGTCGCCAATAATTAGAGATGCACCGAAATTT